GGGTTTTGGAAGTAGACCTGGGAGTGAGTGCAATCAACGAGAGCTGTGTGTGCAAAGAAAGTGACTCAGCAGGATTCTTCACCTTGGCTGCTTACAAAGAGATATCAGTTTTTCTCTTTAAAGCCGCGCTCACTTTGCTATGAAAGCATCCTGCCCAGTTAGCGCAGAGTTCATCTTCACTTCACCAGAGCTGAACCGGAGGGAGATTTGCTAGCTTAGCTCTCTGCTTGGATATTTTTGCTTGAAATTTTGGGGGTAGATGGCTTCCCAGGTTTTCCTTTAATAAAATATTTAGATGTTAAAGTAAGATGCATAATCACTATTATGTTTTTATATTTATAAAGTATTTCATGTAGGACTTTATAATTGCATTTGTCACTTTATATTGAATCTATTTAGTAACATTATTCCTTTCTGATAATAGGATAAGGGAGGAGCTGTATGGTCTAGAAACATGGGCAATTAGTGGTACAGGTGAAATGATAATCCAGCGTCCCTTCATTTCTTTGTGCTTGATCTATTACAATCTCTGCCTCTACCATAGAACTCAAATTGTGCTCTATTATAGGTGGATAATAAGCAGGACACAGCAAATTGAGAGTCCTGTTTCCATTTTTGGCTTTGCAATATTTTAATTGGTGTTTGGGGATCATCATTTCCATTCTCCAAAACTTCATTTTTCGTCTTGTTAAAAAAGGATAGTAATTTCTGTCCCCTCTTTCCCTCCTTTGCCAGGGTGGAGGTGGTGGTTAGAAGCACACTGAGCACCTCAGAAACATGCTTTGGGAGTATTAGAACAATTCAGCACCTTCTGAGATGCACTGAGGATCACGCACAGAGGCTAGCAGGCCAGAAGTTGCTGCCAATCCACAGGGCATCTTGCAGCCAAAGTGGGCACAGCAAGACACAACACCCCTGTAGGAACCCAGGCTACAACCAAAGCTAGAACCCTTTTGTCCCATGCTGCTCTGCGTCTAGGCCAGTTAGGAATTTTGAAGGATCTAGTAGAGTTGGGAATAAATTAGTTTCCAATTCTCCAAGAAGAATAGGCTAGGTCTCTTCTCTAGGCTTTGGCTCTCTCAACTTCTCTTTCATAGCACTTACTTGTCATGTTCCATTGTAAGTAGTTATTTAATGTCTCTTTTCTCCATTAGACTCTTAACTCTAGGAGATTAGCCTCTAGTTTAGTATCTGGTACACAGATTTTCACTAAAGATTTACTGAATAGATGAGTGANTAATGCCCTCAAGATCCATCCGTGTTTTTCACAAATGGCAAGATTTCATTCTTTTTAATGGCTGAATAATATCTGTGTGTGTGTGTGTGTGTGTGTGTGTGTGTGTGTGTGAGAGAGAGAGAGAGAGAGAGAGAGAGAGAGTGAGAAAGAGAGAAATATCTTCATTCATCTATTGATGTGCACTTAGGTTGTTATAATATCTTGGCTATTGTAAATAATGCTGCAACAAACATGGGGGGTGCATATATCTTTTGAAGTTAGTGTTTTCATTTTCTTCGGATAAATGCCCAGAAGTGGAATTGCTGGATCAAATGGTAGTTCCATTTTTTTATTTTTTGAGGAACCTCCATACTGTTTTCCATAGTGGCTGTACCAATTTACATTCCTACCAACAGTGTACAAGGGTTTCCTTTTCTCTACATCAGCAGTTCTCAACCTGTGGGTCGTGACCCCTTTGGGGGTCAAACGACCCTTTCACAGGGATCGCCGGGTACTCATATGTGGGTGTATCTGCATGTGGGCCTGGAGACAGATAGAGGAGCGGTGTCTCGGTTCCTAAGACCATCAAAAATATGTGTTTTCCGATGGTCTTAGGCGACCCCTGTGAAATGTTGAGAACCGCTGTCTACATCCTCGCCAACACTTGTTATTTCTTGTTTTTTTTTTATAACAGCCATTCTAACAGGAATGAGGTGATATCTCATTGTGGTTTTGACTTGCAGATCCAGTTTTATATTGATTTATTGGCCTAAGGGTTCCTTAACTGTATAAATAATGCAAATTCAAACCCTAAACTCATGTGAAGCATAAGCTTAGGGTTGTGAATATTCTAAGGAGACATTTTATTTCCCTAAACCGAGCCCAGACAGAAGAAACCAACTTTCTTGTCTCCTTGAAACAGTGGGTAGATATTTTTTCTGGTCTACTCTTTTTCTTAAGGTGTAGTTTTTCATGGTTCTCAGTTTTATGAATGTGTCTTAGTTCCAATTCCTAGGTATTGGGAGGTCTACAGAAAGCTCACCTGTCCTCATGCGGGCATTATAACCTAACGTTACTAAGTGCCAGGGTTACTAGGACTAATACCCATCCCCTATCTAGGCAGCTTCAGCATCCTCTCATAAGCTTATTGCTTAGACTTTCAGCTCCTTTTTTGTTTCTAGTACCTGTGTATTTTCCACTCTTTCTTGAAATTATATAATAAAGTGCTTGTTATATTTTATTCGAAATTTCTAAGACTTTATGGTTGGAAGGATTTCAATGATCTCAATCTATCATATTGCTGGGACTTATGGAAATCTTAAATAAATTGTTAACTTAGCAGAAAAAGTTCAGTCATTTTTTATTGTTATTCTTCAACTCAGTGTTTTTACAAATAGGAAGCTTGAGGACCAGAGAGATAACACAGCAAGTTAATGGCAGACCTGGGATAAGAATTGACAACCTTTAGGCTGCTGAGTCATGATATCTCTAGGTTCTGCTGTCTTCCTGCTGTCTGGAAGTTATTCCTGAGTTAGATCGTTTTATAAGAGTCCTTCTAACTCTGGACTTTATAATTCCATGCTGCTTCCAACATCAAGTTCCAGAAAATTCCATCTGTAGTTCTGGTATTCTAGTTAACTGTAAGCTATTAAGAGACAGTAGCTATGTCTAGTACATGTTGCCATATTCCCAGCGTTCCAACATTTAATATAGGACATTCCACTGAGCTCTCATAGCATTCCCAGGTCTGCCTTCATTATGGTATCTAATGCATTGTGTCACAATTACTGGTTTGTCACGGGCTCCTCGCTTGATTGTAAACTCTTTAAGGGCAGAGACCACCAAGTCCTTTCGTGAATACTCAGTAAATACTGAACAAATAAATGAGTGAATTTAATCCACTCCTCACATCTACCTAAAAACATGACATTCACTACTCTTCATTAGCTTAGCCTATGCTGCCTTTTAAAGTTCGTTTCCTGCTTCTCTTCACCTTACACAAAAGCCATATGTACTATTTGAACACATTCTTCTCTTTGGCTTGTTTCTACCATTCCCTCATCTTAAAATGCCTTTCCTGTCAATCTCTGCCCATTGAAATCCTTTTTCTTCTTCAAGGCAGTCCCATCTCAGATGCTACTTCCTCCATGAAGCCTTCTGAGATTCCCAAGCCTCCTCCCTCATCTGTGCACCCCCTAGCATATTACATATTTCCTTCGAGCATTCATGCCATTCTGCCCAGTATTATAGTTAATTTGAGTTCATATCTCTCTTCTCCCCAGATTATAAATTCCTTAAGTGCAAGAACCCTGTGTCCTCTCTGTACCTAGTACAATACCTTACATATAATAGATGCTTAATAAATTGAATTTAAAGGAATTTGAGATGAAAACTTCCCTTCTTGGGTTCCAAAGGCCCTCCACTCTTTGCATTGTCATTTCTTTTCCTCTACCTGTGGACTAAGGCTTTAATGGTGATACTTATGTTCCCTACAGGTGGCCTATGACATGGGGGATTACTACCATGCCATCCCATGGCTGGAGGAGGCTGTCAGTCTCTTCCGTGGATCTTACGGGGAATGGAATACGGAAGACGAGGCCAGTCTAGAGGATGCCTTGGATCACTTGGCCTTTGCCTATTTCCAGGTAGGGGAGTAAGTGAATCCTACTGCTTTCATCACAATACAAGATGTAATGCTTTATAGCTGCTTTATAATTTTCTAAGCATTTTCACGTCTCTTAATTTATTTCATCTTCCCAACAGAACCAAATGTGAGTCAAGCAGGGCAGCTGTTTTATTATTTCCATATTTCACATGTGAGTAAATGAAATCTCCAAAATATTCCTAACTTGTCACAAAGTTCACAGAGCTGGGAGGAGAGCCGAAGTCTGTCTGACTCTTAGTCCAACGCTCCTTCCAAGGCATTGATTCCTTTAAAATCACCATCTCCCATGTAGGAGGCAATCTCTCACCTGTAGCAGCAACAGCTGCATCAACAAGTATTTTGGGGGGGGGTTCATACTCAAGGTAGATCTTTTTTGCACTCCCAACAACTCACAACTTTTCACAGATATTATGTCATGATATTGCCAATGTCCAAGGAAGAAATTTGATTGTTATCCTCGCCCATCTGCAGTCGAGTCCACCGGTAATGTGACTAGCGTCTAGCTATGGAGCTGGCCTCACTGGTCCACAGTACCTGCTCAGTGCCTCCTCTATGTTGTTTCTCTTGGCACTGTTGATCTGCCACATGTTGTGCCTCACGGGGAAGCTCTACCTTTGGAAGCTGCCATCCATTGGTTTAGCTAACCCCATTTCCCAACAGATTTCTACAGTCTTCAAGAATAGGCTGCCTACTGGGCCAATTTCTTAGAGTTTCCAAAGCTAATAAACCAGTTCTGCTCCTTACATTCCTTTTTCTTTCCCTCTTTT